AAGTCTGGTGTTCAGCAGCTCTGCCTTGCATCAGATGAGAGACATATGTCCTCTGGTTTGGAAAGTCACAGTCTTTTCCTAATTTGTGTTGTGGGGACAGTTCTCCCTTCTCCACCTTCCCTTCTTGTCTGCTGGGTGCAGATTCCAGTGGGCTGCCAATCCAGGGGGCTGGCAAGTGTGGACAGAAAGTCCTCCACCCCTGCCCTGCTTCCTCCCTTCTTCCCTTCATTTCCTTCCTTCTTCCCCTTCTTGTGGGCCTTGGGGGAATGGAAGATTTCTTAAAAGCTTTTTGGGGGAGGTCGTTTTTTATTTTGTTTTCAAACTGGTAGAAAAGTTGCTAGAATGAACTCCTGTATACCAATTATCCACCTTTTTCATGGTTTATGTTTAGCGCCATTTGTTTTCTCTCTCTTTACACACATGCACCCACAATACACACGCATAGATGCATACTTACACAGGTGTATATATTTTTCCAAGCCATTTGAGAGTAAATTGGAGACATTGTATCCCTTTCCTCCTAAATACTTCAGTGCATACTCCTAAAAACAAGAACATTCTCTCTTTTACAACCATAGTGCATTGATCAAAATCAAGACAGTTCATGTTAAAATGTCATTTGTCCAGGGTCCAGTGCAGGATCCCACAGTGCACTGAATTGTCGAGTTTCTTTGGTGTCCTTTAATCCGGAACATAATTCAATATAATATTAACCAGTTGGGAGAGTACAGGCCAGTTATATGGTAGAATATTTCCCAATTTGAGTTTGTCTGATGTTTCTTCATGAGTAGATCCAGGGTCTGCCTTTCTGGCAGGATATCATGGAAGCGATGTGTACTCATGTGTAACATCAGGAGGCCCAAGACTTCCATTTGTCCCGATTTTGATTATATTAACTCTGATGACTTAGTAGATAGAGGTGGTGTCTGCCAAGTTTCTCCCATGTACTACTTTGCACTCTAGAAATAATGAGAGTTACTTTGAAGCTATGTAAGTATGCTTTTCATCAACCCTCACCCCCTAGTACTAGCACCCAGCGATGGTTCTAGTTGACATTCTACTGTGAAGAGTGTTCCCTTCTCCATTATTTGCTAACATTTTGTTGAGGATTTTCACATCTATATTCAAGAGGACTATTGTAGGCAATTTTCTTTTTCTATTATGTTTTGTCAGGTTTAGAATCAGGGTTATTGTGGCCTCAAAAATTGAGTTGGGAAGTATTTCTGTTCTCCTATTTCCTGAAAGATATTGTTTAAGATTGGTGTTGTTTTCCCCTTAAATATTTGTTAGAATTTATGGGTAAAACCTTTGTGAGATGGTTTTGATAATAGACTCAGTTCTTTATGTGGGGCTGTTGAGATTTGTTATTACATTCGTGTCATTGTGAAAGTTATATATCTTAGGGAATTTAATTTTATTTAAGTTGTTAAGTTTATTGGGATAAAGTTGTTTACAATATTTCCTTATCTCTCTAATGCCTGCAAGATCTGTAGTGTTATTCCTTTCATTTATGATATTGATAATTTGTGTTTTCTTTCAATTTTTTTTCCTTGATCATCTTGCTAGGGACTTATCAATTTTATTAATATTCTCAAAGAACCAGTTTTTGACTTTGTCATTTTCTTTATTGGTTATTTTCTTTTTAATTGATTTCTGCTATTTATTATTTCCTTTCTTCTAACTACATGAGTTCAATTTGTCAGCATTTTTCTAGCTTCCTAAGGAGGATACAGTAATTTTAAGTCTACCTTTTCCATTTAAAGCTACACATTAAATGTTTTTATTTTTATGGTATACTGACCTTTTAATTAAGGGATGCTTTTAAAAAATCTCTGATAGTAATCAGTATCTTGTAGTCTACTGTGATATTACTATCACCACTCCATCATTCTTAGGCTTACTATTTATCATTGGACATTTATATTCTTTTTTGCTCCCAACCTGAAATGTTTTACATTTAAAGTGTTCCTGCTTTCATTAGCATATATTTGGAGCTTGTTTTTATATCTAGTTTGACAGTTTCTGTCTTTTAATTGCAGTGTTTAGCCCACTTATGTTTAATGTAATTATTCATTATATTTGGATTTAATTTTGCCATTTTGTTGTTTTTTTTCCATTTGTCTCATCTATTTTTGTCCCTTTGTTAATTCTTTCCTGTCTTCTTTTGGAGTAGAGTATCTTTTTAGTACTGTGTTTTAATTTCTCTATTGGAGATTTTTTAAAAAAATATAGTACATTGTAATAATTTAGTTCCAGCCACTTTCTTTCCTCTCTGTGCTGTTTTTCTTTTTCATGTATACTATAACATATATATTACATTATGAACCTGATAGCATGATATTATAATTTCTGATTTAAACAGTTATATCTTTTGAAGAAATTACAAAAAGAGAAAAATGTATAGGCTTTTATCCTCACATTTTTATCATTTTGGGGGGCTCTTTCTTCCTTTTTTGGACCTGAGTTTCCATCTGGTGTTATTTCCCTTCAGCTTAAAGAACTTCCTTGAATACTTTTTTAAGGTTGTTAGACTGATGATAATAAATCTTTGTTTTTACCAGAAAATACTTAATTTTGCCTTCATTTTTGAACAATAGTTATACTGGATATAGAATTCTGGGCTAATAGGTGTGTTTTTTTCCTTGCAGCACTTTACATATATTCTGTTGTTTTCTAGGGAAGTCAGCTCTCATCCACACTGTCTCCTACATATAGTGTCCTTTTTCTCTGGTTGCTCTTAAGATCTCTCTCTCTCTCTCTCTCTCTCTCTCTCATCTCTATCTCTATCTCTATCTCTATCTCTATCTCTATCTCTATCTCTATCTCTATCTCTATCTCTCTATCTCTCTCTCTTGTTTGCAAAGAGAATGCTTATCCTATTTTGTGTTTATTGAACTCCTTGAATGTGTTCATTGATGCCTTCACCTAATTTGGGACGTTTTTGATTATTGTTTTTTCAAGTACATTTTTCTGTTCCTTTTTTTGTTGTTGTCCTTTCAGTTTGGGGCTTAAATTACACAAAGTTGGGGTGCTTGCCATCATCCCACAGGTCTCTGTGGGTCTCTTTTTTCTCTCCTATCATCTTTTTCGCTGATGTTCAGATTTCATCATTTTTATCAACCTATCTTTAAGTTCAGTGAATCTTTTTTTTCATCTGCAGTTTTTTTTTATTTTATTTCAGTTGTGCTTTCCAGCTCTAGAATTTCCATTTTGACCTTTTTTATAGTTTCTAATTCTCTGTGATACAGAGATTCCCTATATTTTCTTCCTTGGGCATGTGTATTTCTTTTATGCGTTAAACATATTTATAATAGTAGTTCCTTTTAAATCCTTACCAGGTGGTTGAAACACTTGAATCATCTTGATGTTGATAAGGTAAAATTCCCATTAAGTGCTTTTAAAAAGTTATGTATCATTTTTTGCTGTCAATATGTAGGTAGTTATTTTTAATTGAACACTAAACAGTATACATGCTATACTACAGAGGCTCTGGATTCCGCTTTATTTCTCCAAGGTGGTTTTTATGTAGTGGGCAGTTATCTTGTCTGATCTCCAACTCCCAACTGTCTCCTTTGAGCAGCACTAAACTCTCTGTTCAGTTTGCTCAGTTTCTTGCTGCTGCTTTTTTGCTGGTTCCTCTGGGAACTACATGTGTAGTTTAGTAGTCAGCCAAAGAACTTGTTTGCACATCTTTCCCATTGCAGTTCACCTTTAAATGGTAGCCTCCCCTCCATTTTCTGCCTTTTGGTTGCTCTCCAATGGTTGTTTTTTTATGTGTTTCTTTACGATTCTGTAATTGTTATCTGCAAGAGTTTTATGTCTGACCAACCTACTGTGTTATTACCAGAGTCTTGATTTTTTTTCTAGTTTTCATTTCTTTGATTAATTTTCCTATCTTTTCATTCATTATGGCCCTGTTTTTATTTTAGTCCTTGTGTGTTTTTACAATAGCTGTTTTAAAGTCCTTTTCATGTCAGCTCGTTCTAATATCTGGTCCTTGTTGGGTTTGTTTCTACTATCTTGAATATGGGTCAAATTTCCCCATTTCTCTCATGTATCGATAGTATGTTCTTGATGACACATTGTAGAAATCTGAGTTTTGTTATTTTTCTCTGAAGAATGTTAATTTTATTTTAGCAAACAGTTTAGATTCTGTTTCCCCTGCAGCTATCAGCAGCTGAAACTACTTTGTTCCTTTTGCCTTCAGGCTACTGCTTTTCTTTGTGAATCTGACCATCTCCCCTGTGCCTGCACAGATTAAAGTAGGATTTAATCACAGATTTGGGGGGCTTTCCCTTTCTTAGTTCTCTCATTCCTTCTTCTCAGGATCTCTAACCTCATGTGTCAGCTGCTTTGGCAACCTCAGTCTCTGTTCTCTGACTTCTTAAACCAGTTATACTATAGCTTTTGCTTGAGGTCCAGTTACTCTGCATTGCCACGCAGAATGAGAATGCCCAGGCAAAAAAAGCACCAGCAATGCACAGTTTACCCAGTTTAGTTCCCTTCTCTCAGGGTCTGCTCTCCTTTGTTTCCATGAACATCTGATCCCTCTCCAATGCCTAAGGTCACTATTTGTACTGTGTCCGTCTCCTTCTACACGTCCCCCCTCCCCACTCTTTGGTTTTGGTCACATTACTTAACCTCTTTGAGTGTTAATTTCCTCATTTGGAAAAATGAGGATAAGTAATACCTGTCATAGGGTTTGGGGAAGGTAAAATGAGTTATTGCACATAAATTGTTCACTTTTGTGTTGGGAACACAGTGGATCCCTCTAATGATAACCCTTGAGCTTCAGACAAATGCTTATCTGAGTAACACTTGAAAGATATTTGGCCTTTTATTAATCAGAGAACGTGACAGAACTCAAAAGAAGGTGCTTTCTATTTTTACTTCTTGAGTATTTTGGTAATATTTTGAATATTAGCTTTTGGAACCTAAGAACTGATGTGCAACACATAAGCTTTGGTATTTCAAGTGACTGATTTTCTTCTTTTTTATAGATCATCTGCAAACTGGCTTCAGTGCTGAGCAAGAGCACAGTGGAACGCCTGCTGCTCCCTCGATTCTGTGAATTATGTGGTGATGGGAAGCTCTTTCAAGTTCGGAAGGTGAGCACATATAGTTTAATACTTGAAAAAATTCAAAACGGTAAAAATTCAAAATCCATGCCCGTAAAGTTTCTGAACTTCCTCAGAAGACAAGGTCTGGAAGGAAAATATGGCCAGTGTGAACTGTATGAGGAAAACATCTAACAGCGTTGCCAGTTTTTACTGCAAGTAGGGAATGCAGAGCGCTCTGGGGGTGAGATTGTGTCTGAGTATGCCTGTTGTTCGCCTGTTGTTCTCAGGAGCCAGGGGACCTTGCTGACTGTGACTCAATGCCTGTGCCTAGATGAGCAGAGCCTTTCATTTTCTTGGGTGACTTGCCCTACTTCCAACTCCTATCCTACCCCGCCCTCTTCCCTTTTCATCGCTTGTCACTTGATTGTCAAATCCTTCCTTTTGAAGGCCAATGCTACCCTCCCTGAACAGCCTCATTTTCCCTCTTGTCTCTCCTCATGACTCATCAACAAGAAGGTCGTCTCATTTGGTCTTATTTACCATGCGGAAGATATGAAGGGTCTCTTTTGCTCTCTCCTAACCAAACACATTATATATTGAGATCAATTAGGAGCCAGAAAGTGCTAGAATTTGGTACTCTATCGTAAATCTTCAGTTTCCAATGCATCGGAGGCACCTGGGTGGTGCTGTGTGGGCGATGGGCTTAGTGAGTGCTTGTTTGCTGCCTCACTAGAGGAGTAATTGTTCTCAAGGTCCCTGCTTGTTAGTCTGCACAGTTTGTTAAAACAAAAAAAGATGAGAGTAATGGGTATGCCTTTTGCCTTTTTTAAGGTATGTGCTACAAATTTTGGTGATATTTGTCACGCCGTTGGACAAGAAGCCACTGAGAAATTTTTGGTACGTGAAGTTTTGCCAATTGTAATTGCTGATGCACTTGTTAAGGCACCTTTAAAATCCATCGTAGTTTTGTGTCTGTGAGTCTTTTTCTTTGGAACGGCAGCTTAATTTTGCATTCATCAATTTCAAATTTCTTGACTTCTGAAGCTAATGTCAGGCAGCTAGTCTGTGGAACAGAGTAGAAGCACCCCTGTCCTCCTTCCTGTGGGCCTCTTCTGTTCTTCCTCCCTGCTCTTTCTAGAATATCATTATACTACCTCACTCCTAGGCTTCCAAACCCAGGGGGCTGTTTCTTGTAACATCCAGATCCTTCTTGGCCTCTCAGGTCCCTTTACAAGTAGCTTTCCTGCCTTCCCTCCAGTCACCTTCCTCAGATCTGAACATTGCTCCAGCCTGGATGCGGCTTCCCCGGGCTATGCATCTGAGGCATGGGGAGGTTGGAAGGGGGTGGGCCCTGGGATTCATGTTGTTTATAAATTCCCTCACTGTTCTGAGACACAGTGGGGTAAAGCGCCACTTCATGAGCCAGCCAGTGACGCTTCTGCTTGTTACTGCCCCTCTTCGAGCATTGTTCCTACCTGGTGGGACCCTGCTCCCACAGCAGATGGCAGACCCACCTTGAATATGCATATGTCTCAGTCAAATCCTTTCTGGCTTAGACTCACCCTGTCCCCCCCTGTCAGAGAGAGTTCATTCTTCCCTTTTCAGCACCCCCAGGACAGTTAGTTCAGAGGACATGTGTGTCCCTCCACACCCATTCTGGTCTAGCTGATTCCGGATCTTTACCCTATCACGTTCGCCCTTCTTGCCTCCAGGTGCCTGCCTAGGCCCTGGCTCCTGGAGAACACTGCTCAGCACATGCTTGCTTCTGTATTTGACAGGATGTACTACCTAAAAGTTGGAATTTTACCTCAGAAAGTATAATCTTTAAATTGACTTGTAAATTTAAGTGCAGAAGCTCATTTTATTTTATTTGAAGTATAAGCCATGTCTCCCTGGCCAGTGTGGCACAGATGGTTGAGTGTCATCCAATACATTCAATTCTCCTGGGAGATCAGGGCACAGTCCCAGGTTGTGGGTTTGGTCTTTGGTTGGGGTATGTATGGAAGGCAACGAATCAGTGTTTCTCACATCAATGCTTCTCTCGCTGTCCCTCTCCCTTCCTCTCTCTCTAAAATAAATAACAACACATGTTAAAAAAAAGTATAAGCCGCCGAAACCGGTTTGGCTCAGTGGTAGAGCGTCGGTCTGCGGACTGAAAGGTCCCAGGTTCGATTCCGGTCAGGGGCATGTACGTTGGTTGCGGGCACATCCCCAGTAGGGGGTGTGCAAGAGGCAGCTGGTCAGTGTTTCTTTCTCATCAACGTTTCTAGCTCTTTCTCTCCCTTCCTCTCTGTAGAAAATCAATAAAATATATTAAAAAAAAAAAAAGTATAAGCCGTGTCAACATAGTTCTGATCCCAAAATAATTCTTAGTGGGCTATTGCTTTGAGTATACAGGGGGTGTTACCCTCTACTTAATGTGTCTGAGTGAAGCATCATACTCATCTTTCTATAGGCGGATATTTCTGTGCTCGCTTATGCTCATTTGTAGAGCTTTTTGCTGATTATTTTATGTTAAGATATTAAAAACAAATCATATTTTTAGACAAGATCGGCACGGTCAGGATGGTATGGCTGTAGACCAAAGCTTTATTTTTAAAGGCCAAATTTTAAAAGAGGATATAATCATGACCTTCGTGCATATATAAAATGAAGATATGTCAGTGGTTTTATTAAACTTATTTATTGATGAGGGAACCAGTTAGATATGACACGTGGTTTCATGGAGAAGTTAAAGTGCTACACGTGGCCAGACCCTGGAACCCTGAAGTGACTGTACAAACTGGTCACATCCAGGGAGATAAAGTTTGCATGTCTGTGGACAGTTTTTAACAATTTATCTTCTATCACTAACCTCAGAGACCATGTGCTTGGATCACTAACCTCAGAGACCATGTCCTTGTTGTGATAGCCACTGAATTTCCAGGTTGTTTCCAGTATTTCTCTATAATCACATATTGAAAATCAGTTGTTCTGCCTTCAGGGGTTTTTCTCTGCATTACCTTGTTCAATTTAACAAGTCCTTTACTGGAATTAAGAGGTAAAGGAAATGTTGCTTTATTCTGCTTGTCATAATTTCTATTGGTTTCAAATTAGTTTAGTATATATTTCATTTTTTTGTCATTAATTTATAGATATGCCTTAGTTGCATCAATAAAACAGGCTCTCCGGGTAACCGGATTTGAGTAGCATGATTTTATTTGCTTTGGTAGATCCCCAAGTTCTTTGAGCTCTGCTCAGATAATGTGTGGGGGATGCGAAAGGCCTGCGCAGAGTGCTTCATGGCGGTGTCCCACAACACGTCCCCCGAGGTGCGCAGAGCCCAGCTGTCCCCTCTCTTCATCCGCCTGGTCAGCGACTCCTGTCGATGGGTAAGCATGGCCTCCTCTTGGCATCTGGACTGGTGACTTTTCAGTCACTGATTGTCATAGTTAGACCTTGGGAGGCTTAAGGCACCTAAAAATCTCACAAGTTTTGATGGTGTTAAGAAGGTGCTCCCACTGTCACATTTATATTGAACAAATCCCATAGAAATGAGAACTGAGAAGGGAAAGATCAGAACTGTGAATTGTTACTTCTGTTCTGATCTTAACTATGCTGCAATGATTAAGAAAGTCTGTTCAGATGCTTTATAAAGTCCAGAATTATTTGATGTGGGATTAATTGCCTGAAAGGTAAAAACTGTGCAGAGTGCTACATGATAGTGCCAAAATTTTCCTTATTTTCTGTTGAAAATTGTTTATTTGGAATTTAGGGAAATCCTCTCAGACATGCTGTGGCAGACAGTGAGTGGCCAGGTGATCTGCCCCCGCTCAGCCTGAGGTCAGACTCGCGAGTGCCACTTTCATGCGCTGTTCTCTCTGGTTTCAGGTGCGCCAGGCTGCCTTTCAGTCCCTGGGCCCCTTCATCTCCACCTTTGCAAACCCCTCCAGGGCTGGCCTCTATATTCGAGAGGATGGCACTCTGAGCATCAGGTCATCAGCTCAGAGTGCGGGGTCCAACTTCACATGCAGGTCAGCCAGTGCCCACTGTGCCACCTCAGCCTGGTAAGCTCCAACCCAATAATTACTAGGATCCCGCTTCACCTCAAGCATCCACCTAAAATTCTAGCAATTATCTCCTCTGGAGTTTCAGTAACAGTGACCTTCTGGGCAAGACGGAATATTAGAGCTTTAATTATGTAAAGAAGGAAAAAGTAATTGCAATAATGGTTTTGAAACATGACTACTGGGTTATAAATAATGAAGCTACTGTGTCTCCTAAATTTAGATGAAATATTCATTGAGAGCAGTGATTAAATAACCTATAAAGAAAATTTTTTCTTACTTTTTGATTAATGAAGTTCTTTGGATAATGTACATGGAAAAAATGTATTTTTGTGCCATAGAATATTACATACCCATAACGTTGAGATTCCTGACTCACTATCAGTAGACCCTACACTGTTTTTCTAGTAAATTCTAGTGATTGATCTTGGATTTGTTAAATACGTTTTCTCTAAGGATGGTGGGTGCATACTAACAAACCATTGGAGGTAGAAGCAGGCGTCTCTCCATTGATAACATTACCTGGAGTGTGAGAGTAGGTAGATAGATCACATCCCAGTACCCATCCTTTGTGAGATCGGTCACCCACCTCCACCAAGACTCAAGAAGTCCCTGCTGTAGGCCTGGGGCAGGCTTCCTCATCAAGACTTCCCAGTAGTTAACCACCAGCCAGCACTTGCCCACTTTGGCCCCTTTTGTTTTCTCATGCCTGCCTCCTGGTGGAGGTCCTGAGAAGCAGTAAGTGTAGGTCTTGCTCCTGAAGGTGTGCCAGCAGAAGCTGGGCTCTTCACCACCGGTGTATACGTGTAGTGGAGGGATTGGCTGCAGCTGCGTGTGGCGTGTTCAGTGTACATCATTCTTCCAGTGGGGCAGAGGGAACTGCTTGGACCTCTCATCCTCTCGTGACACTGGGAGACACAGCATGCTGGGTGGCCAGGTCAGGAGAAGGACCAGGCTTGTGAGCATGTGGGCCTGTGTTTGCCTACTTTACTTCCATTCCATTACTTGGTCCTAAAAGTCTGCCTCCCTCGATTTAACCCAGTTCAACACAGCCAGGGCAGATAGAGGCACATCCACCCATGGGAGGCCCATCAGGGGGCTCCAGTGGTTTCCTGCCTGTCAAGAGCTCCTGTGATGGCCCAATGGAGAACCCAATGGAAGACTCCGGCCTGGGTGAAGCCAAGGTGACCAGTGCCTGCTCAAAGCTCCCAGATAGCAACAACCTCCCCATCAGTGGTCACCCTGCACCTGGTCCCTGGGCCTGCCCCGGGAGTCCTGTGGACGCATTCATTGATTTCCTTTATTGGCGAACTCCTCTCCCTGACATCAGCCAGGACTTGCAGTTGTTTCTGAGTGCGGCTGTGCCGCAGGAAGAAGGCCGCTGCAGATCCGAGCCCGTGTGCGGCAGCTCTGTGGCCAGGAGCGAGATTCAGAAAGTCCTCGACAGTTTGCAGGAGCACATGATGAACAATCCAGATGTTCAAGGTCAGTGTTATCCACAGGGAAAGGGGAGATAGATGGGGTATTTCTGGGGTGTGTGTCACACGGGCCTGTTTCTTGCTGCATTTGTTCATGTACTTACCTTTGGTGACATTGTACACACATCTCACCACAGCTAGAACCTCAGCATCTCCCTGCATGTAGCCGCAGGGGTCCTGCCTCCTGGCGAGCAACGTGCAGGTCTGACGTCAGTTTTAATGGAAGCGAGGGCTCTCGGGCGTATCTGTAGCAGTGGGGATTTTATTAGCTCCTCGGCCATTTTTACATCCTTTGCTGTGTTATAATGCCTTCTGGTTATGAACAGCTATGGCTGCTGCTCCTCTTGAAGCATTAACTCAGGCCTTAGCTAAACTTTGAGGTTCTGTCTCAACAAGGAAAAGGACAGCTTCTTCTTTGGGGTATTTTTCATTTTATGACTAGTACTCCCACTGAGCGTCAGATCAGGGAGCCAGGCCCTGCAATCCATATCCATTATCACGCCTCTTCTTTCTTGAAACATTGCTATATTTGTATTCTTCCTGAGTTGGGGAAATTGGAAAAAAACAACACTTGCTGCTGTTGCTGGGCAAAGATTTGTGACGCTTTCAGGAAAGGAAATGTGAAAATCCAGTTAGCCCTGTGATTATTCTTTGTCTTTAAATTGATAAAGGAAATTAAGTCAGTGTTTGCTAAAGGAATGAGCACATGTTACATATCACTTCTAATAGCTGTAGACAGAGGTCTGCTTTTGGAAACCGCATTTCTAAAACTGCATTAAACTCCATGCTGGGACCCGGCTGGATGCTGGGCAGCACTGAGGACTGGAGGCCCTCGTGGTCAGGTGGAAGGGGCTGTAAACAGCTTCCCTCCACGGCTATAGCAGGGGCTGGGCCCGGAGGTTAGGGCAGGAAGCTGATTATTCTTGGGGACAGAAGGAATGTCTGGGAGGAGACCTTGCAGAGCAATTGACATTTGACAAGGGCTTTAAAGGACGGGGAGGGCCCTAGCTGGTTTGGCTCAGCGGACAGAGCGTCGGCCTGCGGACTGCAGGGTCCCAGGTTTGATTCTGGTCAAGGGCATGTACCTTGGTTGCGGGCACATCCCCAGGAGGGGGTGTGCAGGAGGCAGCTGATCAATGTTTCTCTCTCATTGATTTCTCTCTGTAAAAAATCAATAAGATATATTTTAAAATAAAATAAAATAAAGGACAGCTAGGAATCCACTGTACAGAGAAGTTGAGTGATGAGTCTCATAGGTTCTTTCAGGTCCCTGAAATTATTTTGTAAAATATTCCATATACATGCATACTTTTTATAAAGAAAAAGGACCCACATGCTGCTTTAGTGCTCAGAAGGATCTGTGACCCACAAAGACTCAGAAATAAGTGGCACCTTAGGTATTTGTAATTGGAGATATTGCTCAGGCCATGGGGAGGCCCTGGTGGGTGGCACTGAGGAGGTGGGTCCTTGTTCTGGGCACAGCAGGGAGCCAGCTACATACTCTAAGCATTTTAATGAATCTTGAGGTCTGTTGAATTTAACCAGTAGAAAACAGAATGCAGGAAGTCTTGTGTGTGCATGTTTGGAGGTTTGTGACATGGAAACATTTGTGTTTATGGAAAAATATGTAGATATGTCATCTAAACTGTTATGGGCTTCTCAAACAGTCATGCTGTGGACAGAAAGCATGAGCCGAGCAGGGTGAGCAGGACCATGACTCACGTGTGTGCACTTAGCTGGGTTGATTCCTGCACATGTGTGCCCTTGTGTGCAGCCGTGTTTGTGTGGCGGAGATGGCAGCCACCCTGCTTTATGAATGAGGGTGCAGAACCCTCCTCCCTGAGTCAGTGGGCCTCTCAGACATCGCTTTTGGTAACATTGTATTGTCTTCCTGTGAAAGATGATGGAATCAAGCTCTGATTTCCCAGTTGAGGCACTTCAGGTTCAGATTTGATGCTGTGTGCGTGGCTGACGTTTAGTTGGAGTCGTTAAGGTTAATGGTGGTAAACATCACAGCCTGACTGAGTGCTCATTCTGGGACCCCAGAGCATGGTTACTGTAGGGACAGATGTGGGGAGAGTGAGTGCATGTGCACTGTGCCCACATCCACAAATCAGATAAAGTTATTGAAATTCTCAAAACTTCTCTCCTTGCAGCTCAAGTTCAGGTGCTATCAGCTGCACTGAGAGCCACACAGCTGGACTCTGTGAGTGAGCCCGAACGCCTGCTGGCAGACAATCTGAGTGCAATGTCCCTTTCAGATCCCAATCCGGCCTCTGACAGCTGGCTGGCTCCGTCGGCCTCGTCCCTGCAGAGTGAGCCCTCTGTGGCCAGGATATTACCAAGCACAGTAAGTCTCTGGCCTCTCCCTCAGCCACTGAGGATGTGACAGAAATCTCAAAGCTGCTGTTTCTCTTATTAGTAGGTCCTGGTGGAGATGATAAATGGCAGGTTTAATTTTATTCTTAAGATCATCTTTTGGATAACTAGACAACCAATCAATTGGGTGATTGATAACCCTGACTCTCCTCCACAGAGACAAGGTGGGGGACCAAAAAGACCTTCCCTCTTCTCCAAAGATGATGAGACCTGCTTCTTGGGGGAGGGGTTGACCAGATCACCGCTCCGTTTCACTGCCCACGGGGTTAGATCTTTGAGTAGGAATGGAAAGTGAATTCCTACAGCCCCTCCAGGTTGAAGTTGACAGAGGCCTTAGAATTTGATCATGGCCTCCAGCCCTCACCTTAGAGGCACTCTCTCAACACACGGTCCCTCTTGCAGTGGCACTAGCATGCTGTGTCTTCGGGAGAGGTTTGGGCAAGCCCACAGACCCCACCTCCCTTCCCTGTAGTCTGAAACCAGCCCCCAGAGACGACTCCCATCCTGGGCCAGTGCCTTGTTTCTTAGTTCCATCTCTCCAGAAGCTTCCTACCTGCTTTTGGTGGAAGGCTCCAGTGCCTCCCTAATTCCCACTAAACTTGCTCTTGGACCACCTAGAGCTGGGCTCCTTCACCGGTCAGTGAGACTGAAGAACGGAAATTAGGGAGGGGCCCATGATCATGGGCATGTCAGCACCTTCTCATTTTCATGTGCCTTAATGGAGGCCAGAGGCCAGAGGCCAGAATACTAGTTGTTTCTCATTTCACACAGTTTGTAACATGGTTTTAGCAATTCAACTAACGTTATCACCTCCCTTACCCGCTAGGCCTGCTCAGTAAAATTTAAATAGCCTAAATATAAAATGTTTAAGAGTTTGTTAAGGTTACTCTTGATTAGTAAGAAATAAGGTGATATCCTATTTTGCTGGTTTGTTTAGAAAAACAGGCAAGAAAACTCATGTTACCCTTGTTGAAATCAGACGTGTTAGTTAGATAGGAAGGTGTGGCCACGTTTACCTTGGTGGGACGTGACAGTCCTCAGGCTTCCCTATCATATATGGAAGTGAGCAAACAAAAAAGGAACCAGTTCCTCACCCTGGTGGGTGTTGCTCAGTTGTCAGAGTGTTGGCCCCACACTGAAGGGTCTCAGGTTCAATTTCTGGTCACGGTCAAGGGTTGTGAGTTCACTTCCTGCCCAGTCAGGGTATGTGGGGAAGGCAACCAGTTGATGTGTCTCTCTCACATCAATATTTTTCTCTTCCTCCTTCCCTCACTGCCCCTTCCTCCCTCCACTCTCCTCGTTACTCTCTGAAAAAGCAAGGGGGAAAATATCTTTAGGTGAGGATTAACAAAACAAAACAAAACAAAACAAAACAAAACAATAAAGGCATTGATTCCTCCATCTTAGCCCTTTTGTGAGGAGGTTTCAGAGGGCCCCTCTCTTTGGTTCTTCGTTTGTGGTGTGGGACATCAGGGGTCTTGAATTTGCAGCTTGACTCTTAGGTTCCAGTGGGATCAGTCAGGATGTTTCCAGCTGTAAAAGAAGGAAAAGGAATGGGAAAACTAAAAAAGCCTTAAGCAGTAAGGGCTGTGTTCTTTCACACAGTGAACTGGAGAGGAGCTGAGGCTCGGGGCTGGCACTTCAGCTGCAAAACTTGACCCCATTCCCCATGTCCACTCTGCCATCTTGGCTCGCCAACTTAGTCCCAAAATGCCCAGTGGGAGGAGGGGCCTCCTTTTTCTGGCTTGTCACTTAACTGCGAGGCGGTTTTCTGGGGCAGTGACCGCTCAGTACCCCTGGGGGCTGCCTGGACTTGTGCTGGTTACAAAAACCGAAGCTGGGCTCCTGAAATACGTGCCGTACTTATAATTCCAAATGAGGACTTTGGAGTAAAATTAATTCCTGAAAGAAGAAAGATGATTTATTATTTATTAATCTATGTGAATTTATTAAGTTGGAGAAATTGAGGTCTTAGGTTATCAGACCAAAGCGTTTCTGTTTTATCACGTCCTTTATTAAATAAGCAGTACATTTCAGTGGAGACCTTGGGGATTGAAGGTTCTGGTAGCGTGTCTCAGCCAACAAAGCGTCTATCGGTGTATTAATCGACTCTCCTGGATCATATATTGAACTGATTTGTCAAAACCTATTAAGCTGGCAGGCAGTGTGACATTTTCATGCAAGTAGGGAACCCATGTTATGGTTGGAGCAGAAGGTCAGGCCCATCTCAGTTAACGTTAGTCAATGATCAGAGACCAATATGTCACCGTTGAACGTTTTGCACATCTTAATTGTTAACCTAATATAAGGGTTCACCAGCAAATATGAAAAGTGTTTGTACATGTGAAAATTCAGAACAGTTTTCTGAGTACACGCTCCTCATCAGTCACTTATTTTCACTCAGATTAAAGGAGTCTGCCAGTGCCTCTCCATCCTCTCTCATGCTCAGCACTGATGCACTCTCCAGTTCCTGGGCAGCGCTGGATGTGTACTTCTCCATTTCTTGAAAACCTCGCTCTGCTTTCAGGAGTGGTCCATGATTTAAATGTGCAATTGTTACTTAAGAGCTGTGGTTAACCACACTGGAGGTCCTGGGGCTTGAAGAATGGTAAACACAGCCTCCATTTGTTGGTACATGCCAGCGTTAGCCCATCTTCTGTAAGGGCCTCAAGCAGTTTTGTTTTTTTTATTTTATTTTATTTTATTTTTTTTAAAATATATTTTATTGATTTTGTACAGAGAGGAAGGGGGAGAGATAGAGAGCTAGAAACATCGATGAGAGAGAGTCATTGATCAGCTGCCTCCTGCACACCCCCCACTGGGGATATGCCCGCAGCCAAGGTACATGCCCTTGACCAGAATCGAACCCAGGTCCCTTCAGTCCCCAAGCTGACGCTCTATCCATTGAGCCAAACCGGTCTTGGCCAGTTTTTTTTTTTTTTTTTTTTTTTTTTTTAAACATACTCTTGTTGATTTCAGAGAAGAAGGGAGATAGAAACATAAGTGATGAGAGAGAATCATGATTGGCTGCCTCCTGCACGCCCCCTACTGGGGATTGAGTCCACAACCCAGGCATGTGCCTTGACTGATTCATAGGTCAACACTCTACTACCAAGCCACACTGGCCTACCCTACGTCATATGTAACTATGCAATTGTATTTTGTTAACACCAGGAGAGAGAGCTCGACCTAAAGGGAAGGTCTGGTCTTGGTTCGCATAAGTCATTCGTGCCATTGAAAGAGGGTTCCTTGAAGGGGGCAGTCGGGCAGCTTCCTCGGCGGAGCCAGTTGGTAACATGCCCCGTCCCTTTTGCAGGATTCAGGCGAGCCCTGCCCTGGAACCCGTGACCATCTGGGGATCCAGCAGAGGCATGACCCCGTCCCACTTGAGGAGAATAAATCTAAACTTCAGGTTTGTTCCTTGAAAAGAAAGCAGCTTAAAACTTTACATTTCTCTGGGAGTTAAATTTAAGAATGGACACTGGAAGCAAATATTTTTCTTCCATCAATATTCATGACATATCTTACTTTACAATCTGTGGTGCTAATATTTCCTCTCTAACATAAAAAAATAGTTAACTCCAAAGTAGTGTTTAAAATCTTGAGTTATCTAGAATAGTATTTTAAAGTAAATCAAACATAAGAAAAATTTTGACATATCTACACAAATATTTAATGGCTGTTTATACAAGTCAATTTGTTTCTTTGTGTGTGAAAAGTTTTTGATGGCTTTTTTTTTTTTTTAATCGAACTGTGCTGGGCTTTGTTCAGTCTTATGGATTGCCTTCTTGTGCTATGTGAGTTCTCTTCAATGCTTTTAATTTTTGCATCCCATTCCTCTTACGGAGATAAAAGTAAGGGAGTGCTGCCTCATGAAGGCAGCATTCCATCAGTTGGACAGAATTAGGAATGATCGAGTGTAGGGCTCAGGCCTTATGTGCTGGAGCAGTTATAAGAAAAGATAGTTTCCATTCTCAAGAGCTGTGTGCACCAGACAAACCAACATTCTAGACTGTTCTTTATGACATCAAACATTGGATGAGTTTAGAAAAGGTGAGTGTGGACATTGTTTTAGCTTCAGTCCAAGTAGTAAACTGGAGGAACAAGAAGCTCGCCAACTTGAAGCTTCAGGAAGGCCTCTTGCATTTTTTGATTTTCTGTTTTTACCTCCAAGTTCCAAACTCCTTGCTTTTTGTGTCTTCTCTTTTTTTCCAACAAGCATGCTATTTCCTTTCTCTCCTGTTTCCCAGGATATTATTCCTCAGCCCCTATTGGATGAGTATGTGTCGATGACCGACCCAACTCGAGCCCAGACTGTTGATAGTGACATAGCCAAGCACTGTGCATACAGCCTCCCAGGGGTGGCGCTCACGCTGGGCAGGCAGAATTGGCACTGCCTGAAGGATACATATGCAACACTTGCTTCCGACGTGAAGGTAAGAGTCGGAAGCTGCAGTTGGGCTCACGGCCTGAATTCACGAGGTCGTGACTGCCACATTCACTGGTCTCTGAGGAGAGAAAGCTTTAGGTGGCCAGCACCTGGCAGCCTCAGTGTTACTCCAGAAATAGCCCTCACCTTTTGGTAACATGGCACTGTGCTTGCTTTCCTGGTTTCTGTCTGCTGTGTGCCCAGTGGAAGGTACGTAGGACCCTGGCCTTCTCCATCCATGAGCTGGCTGTGATTCTCGGGGACCAGTTAACGGCTGCTGACCTGGTACCCATCTTCAATGGATTTTTAAAAGACCTGGATGAAGTACGAATAGGAGTTCTTAAACACCTGTATGATTTCCTAAAGGTAGGAAGAAGGATTAAAAAAACAAAAACAAACCTCCCCTCTTCAAAACAGTTTTTTAAACCCTGCATGTGTAGAGAGTATCAGAGGGAAAAAAAAACACCCACCACACAGAGGTATCTGTGTTTTCCAGTTCAAACATACCATTCAGAATCTTAGAGTGGGTGCTCTTTTGGTGATGGGAGATGTTGTTATGCCTCTCCTTCTGTCTCCCTCCACCTCCAAAGTCTCATTCTGCAGGGCTGTGGACAGGTAGGCCAGCGTGCTCCCTGAGTCAGTGGGGGTTTGCCCAGCTCTGAGCCACTGGAATCCAGCTCACTCTGCATGCAGGGCTTTTCTGCAAGATGTTGCTGCTTCCCTGCTTTATATTCTTTTTCTTATTCTTGCACTCATCATTCAAAGGAATGGTGAGTACAAGAATAAGAATTTTAAAATGACACAGAGAAACGAAGTGCATGCATCCCCGAGCTGAGCTGCCTGGAAGGGCTTTGGTGCCCAGCTTAGGTTTTCCTGTGGCACAGGAGCCAGCGAGCAGGGCCCACTCCAGGGAGCAGCCATGGTGCTACCTCATAAATACACACAGACAGGGCTTGATAGCGACATAGCCAAGCAGGAGGAAGAGCTAGGGGTCCTGGGAGCACCCAGGTCTCTCAAGAGCCCAGGGAGAAGGCTGGAGGCACTCAGGGCTGCATGGCGCCTGTTCCCAGCAGCGTCCACACAGCCCCACTGGGTGGTCCAGGCAGCAGGGGAAGGCACAGTTCTTGCTGGTGACAAACATATAATCTGAAGTAAAATGCAACAGTATGTGTGGGCTCATGTTGAGGAATTATACATTTTTATTTATATATACATTTTTAAAAATAGTTGCTTCATGAAGACAAGAGGAGAGAATATCTTTATCAGCTTCAAGAATTTGTAGTGACCGATAACAGCAGGAATTGGAGGTTTCGATATGAACTAGCAGAGTAAGTAAAACCTGTGTGGGGCTATGAGAAGGCAATTAGATGGAATAAGTCTTCATTTTCCTACCTTGTAATTGATTTCTAAACTAGCAGTAATAGTGTTCTTTGGGATAAAGAGATTATGTTTTTATTAAGGGATAAACCAAACTCCAAAGCTCTAAGTTACAAATACCTCTGTCTCCGGGGAGACATTCATTTTCAGATGAAGACAGGGCCCGAGTCACTTTGGAATTAAAGTGTTCTGCTGTTCTATAAAGCAATTTATTCGAACCAAATAAAAGATGAATCACCCACTCTCCAGTATTTTCCTATTAATCGGAGCAGGTTTTTTGCCAGCGCTTTCTTGAACATTTTGAGAGTAGCCTTCTCTGCAGGGCACAGTGTGGTTTAGGCACTTCAGCTTCCAAAGAACATCACGCTGCAGTGAGAGATATGAAAAGGTCTAGCACAGATGAGACGATTATTAAATAAAACCGTCCCCCAAGGTGGCTCAGATCTGTACCTCATTTTGTGTGTGAAGGAGTTATTTAATTCTGTCTGCGCCGGTGAAGGGAAAGGGAAAGGTTTTAGCGATTCTAATAGAGTGAAAGCATCACTTTAAATAATTCTCCTTCCCGAGGTGCATAATGTGATTTCCACAGTATCGAGTGGATTTGTTTGCGGTGGTGGCTGTTTGGGTTTTAGTTTTCACCTTGTCAAGATTTATTTCAGTATCTTTAGTTTTCATTTTCCTTCCTCTCAACTAGAAATCTCTCAAATAATTATCTTCCCTGTAGAAATCCATCAAGCTTTTGCAGCTATTCAGGATATGATTTGGCCGATGCCGGGGGCCAACTAAAAGATTTTCTCTTTGCTGTGATCTTTAATCATTATGCTTAATTTGAGCGATTGAGGTTTTAGTCATTATGCTATGTTCCCAGCATATATTCTAAGAGAACAAAGAGAAAAACAGGCCCAAGTTTTCCATGAAAACATTGTGCCCCCTAGCGGCAGTGTGTGGAAACTCGGTCAGGTCCGTCTGGGGACGAGCTGACCGGCTTTTCAGGGCTGGGGCTGGGGCTGGGGTCTGGTTGGGGCGCGGAAAGGGGCGCAACTGGGGATAGGGACGGACCGACGTGCTTCCCTGGAACGGGACGAGGTCAGGAGACCGGGCATGGGCTACCTGCCTTCCGGGGCTGGGTACCAGGGGCCAAGGGACCTGGACCCGGACAAGACCGGTTTGGGGATGGAGCTGAGGTGTGGTGTGCTCGGCTAGCACGGCCAGGCAGGCTAGCGCGGCAGGCGGCTTATCTCTGAGCGCTCTCCCATATCGGCCTTGGTTATTGAAGCCAAAGCCACTGATAAGAATTCTGTGCTCCTGTGCCTGTGATACTGGTATCATTTCCCTGAAAACAGTGCTTTTTTATATGAAAATATTCACCCACACTCCTGGCTTCTGCTTCTAACTTCCTTCAATCTCTTTTTCATTTCCTTTTGTTGCCAGTGTGGAAATAATGTCATTTATTTTCATAGCCTTCTCCCCATCCCCATGTATAAAGCAGTGAGGGCTCTGTAGCTGATTTCCCCGCCAGCCGCAGGATGAATTCCCCCTCGGAGTAAATCGCTGTTATTTCTCTCCAAGCGGGGACGGCGGCGTTTGAAAAGCTCTGCAGAGCCGCCGCCGGCCGGCAGAAACAGCAATTTAATGTGCAGCTCCAGGAGCACGGCGGAGGCAGGGAAATCTCATCAGTGTTCCTTCATCTGTGGATCTTTGGGAATTTCAGTGTTCTGGCTATTTTTAGGTTATCTGATTTTTAAAATTTTATGTGCTTTCCAACTGATAACCTAAAATTGAAGTGGTAAATCCCTATTCATAAATTTCTCAACCCCTGTTTTACCAAATTTAATTTATGTCCTTTTTATTTGATTTATTTGTGTGTATGAAATGAAAAATTCATATCTCCCCCCCCCCCCCCCCCACTTTCCTTTGTGTGGCCATTTCACTCAGGGCTCTGCTTTTGGCATTTCCTTGACTGGAAGCCTTCCTCGGTCTTCATTACCCTTCCTCCCAGCCTGGCTGGGTTTCTTTTGTTTTTTGCTTTTTGTTTTTTTAAATCTATAAGATGAAATAAGAGTAAAGAGAAAGAAGTAAGATGGTTTTTTTGCCTCCCAAAACAATTTATTTTTCTTTTTAATTTCAGGCAGCTGATACTGATTTTGGAACTGTATAACCCCAATGAGGTTTATGATTATTTAATGCATATTGCCTTAAAGCTATGTGCAGATAAGGTTTCCGAAGTGCGGTGGATCTCCTTCAGACTAGTAAGGAATCATGGCTCTTTCTGTTTATGAATTTTGGAAATATGAATATTTATGTTTCTCCCATTTTTAGCTCCTTTGTTTTTTTCTGGGCTTAATTTGTCAGTTTACCTATGAAACCAGCCTTTATTTTGGAATTAGGAATTGTATGATAGTTTTACCAGTTTGTAAGGTAGCCTTTTTGTTAAGCTGTATCAGGGATGGAAATTGTGGGTAAATCATTTTATAAATGAAACCCTTTAAATAGTGGCTTAATGTTTCTGTTAAACCCAGGTTGGGTTTAGTCTACAGCATGATTTTATAGAAAAGTAGTTAGTGAACAAAGTAGATCCTATTTGATATGGGTTTATACCAGCTGAAGACTGAGGGAAAAGGGGAGAATCTCATTTGAAAATATTATTGATTTACTAAGATATTCTAATGGTATTAAAATTTTATAAAAATAACATGTTCTGAAAGACAATGATTTAGCTATTATGCAAGGGGACATTTTCTCAGGTTTGGAATCTTAAGAGTAATAATGTATTTTTTTAGTTCCAGTCCCTTATTAAATTTTATTTTAAGGGCTTTATGTGTGTTTGTATCTATGTATTTCTATATATTTAAACACCTTTTTCCTCTGTGTTCTAATGATTATCATAGCAAAAATTACTTTCTCCCATGCTTATAAATTTATTTTAAAGATGGAAGGGTACATAAAAATGTCTAGTTTCCATATAAAGTGGTATTCATAATTCAAATAGATGGCAACATTTTACATTTGCTCTTCTGATTTTTTTTTTCACAGGTTGTGGCAATTCTGCACAAGTTCTATTCAAACAGTGAAAGTGCTTTGGGGGTAAATTTCATCGCTGAACTCATCCTAAGGTTCCGGCACTGTTCAAAGTGGGTTGGAAGGCAAGCTTTTGCTTTCATTTGCCAGGTGAGCCTGGCCTGAGGGAATCTAGCCTGGCACACAGTTGCCATGTGTTGATATCAGGTGCCCCAGATGAAGAACCCAGGCCTGAAATTGAGGATCAGTGGACCAAACCCCCTTATCTCACAGCAGATTGGAACCAGCCCTGTCAGGCACAGTGAGTGACTCAGGGTTTTCCAACCTGTACATGCACTTGTCCTGTAGATATTGTTTGAGCACCTACTATGTGCCAGGCGTGATCTTGAGGCTGAAGACAGAGAGTAAACAAGCTCCTGTCCTCCCAGAACCTTCCATTGTGAGGTGAGGGCCAGATCCAGAGCCCCGCTCCTGTCATGTCCAGTCCAGGGCTGTGTGCATCTCTGACTCTCACTGTAGCCAGCTGCCTTGGAGGGAAGGGGGGAGGACAGAGCAGCAGGTTAGGGCAGAGACTATTTAATATTGTTTAAGTGAAGTTCATGGCAGCCTGTCCAGCTCCTCAAATCACCCTCTCTTCTTAGCATCTTGGACAAGAGGGTGTGTTTCACGTTTGGCTGAGGAGGCGGCTGCCTCTGTGTGCCAGGTGTCTAATCCTCAGGAATAAGATCTACTGTGTGTTGAACTTGGCACATCCATTTAAGAGAGACTTTTAGATGAAACAGTTGAAGCCCAGAGAGGTTAAGTAACTCACTCAAGATCACACAGGAAGTATTTTATGCTAGAGTGTTATTTTCAAAGTCTTAACCTTTATGCACATTTTCAAGCACATATGAAGGCATAAGGACTAGTGTAATGAATCTTGGAACTCACTACCCAGCTTTGTCAGCAGTACAGGAAAGCCATGATTGGACTCCACCTGACCTCAGACTCCAAAGCCCCCCTTCTTGCCCTCCTGACTTCTCCCACTGAAGGACTCACCAGGGCCCTTGTTGGGGTGGAGGGGCGTCATTGGGGCACTTTGGCCATCACTTTGACAAGTGCCAAATTCATAGGCTTGTAAAGAAGTTAGTACTGCAAATCATTTTTGGAGAAAGGGTGAATGAGGTGTTTTTGCTTTTATTTTATTATTTTTTAAAATATATTGATTTTTTTTATAGAGAGGAAGGGAGAGGGATAGAGAGCTAGAAACATTGATGAGAGAGAAACATTGACCAGCTACCTTCTGCACATCCCCCATCGGGGATGTGCTTGCAGCCAAGGTACATATCCTTGACCGGAATTGAACCTGGAATCCTTCAGTCTACAGGCCGACACTCTATACACTGAGCCAAATTGGTTTTGGCTGCTTTTATCTTTAAACTAGTTACCTGGTACATGGATTTGTGCACATTGAAAGGAAATTAATTAGAAGGTGGCTGGTGGGTGGGAATGGGCTAGACATGTCCTGGAGCCAACCTCCTGTGGCCCCTGGTGTCTGCAGGGTCAGTGGGGTCTCTCTAGCCAGAGGGGTCCCTCATCCTGGCCTGGCCTGTGGGGATCAGGCTGAAACAGGCTCTCCGACATCCCCCGAGGGGTCCTGGAGTGCAAGAGGGCACTCTGCAAAGTTGCTGTTGTACAGGGTGTGAAACATAAATGCAAGTGTGCAGTGAACCAGATCCAGGGCCTCCAGTGCCCCAGCAACAACATAACCCACGGCTGAAGGTGGAGTCACGCAGCCCTGCGAGGAATTGGGCTCCTTCCTCTCTGGTTTTGGGGTGCATTATCCAGGAACCACTGCTGCCAATGCACTGCAGCTCAGCAGCTCCTGTGTTGAGCCTCTGCCCCTGGTGGTCAGTGTGTGTCATAGCAACCAGTCAGATGGGTGGAGGGACACTTAGTATATTCTTAGCCTTTTTTCTTCTTCATTTTTTTAAAGATATTATATGTGTACATACCTTACCAATCCCCCTCACTCCCATACATGTCCTCCCGCCCCAGAGGTTTGCATCCATTGGTTATGCTTATATGCATGCATACAAGTCCTTCGGTTGATCTCTTATCTCCTCATATCTCGCCTACTCTCCCTGCTGTAATTTGACAGTCTGTTTGTTTCTTTACTATCTCTGTATCTATCTTTTTGTTCTTCAGTTTATAATGTTCCTTATTATCCATAAATGAGTGAGATCATGTGGTGTTTTTCTTTCATTGACTGACTTATTTCACTCAGCATAATGCTCTCCAATTCCATCCAGGTTGCTGCAAATGATGAAAATTCCTTCTTTTTTATGACAGCATAGTATTCCATTGTGTAGACATACCATAGTATTTTGATTCAATCATCTGCTGACTGGCACCTAGTATTAGCCATTTATATACATAGACTCATTGCAGATTTAGAAACTATAATACACGATGGAACAAAAGTAAAAGATGTCAAAATAATTTTTTTTAAGAACAATTTTTTTTGCACTTTCACTAAATTCATCATTAAAGATTTAGAAAACCCACAGTTACACCAGTGCAAGGAAAGGATGCAGCCAAGACTCCCTGCTAAGGGTCATGCTGATTATTACTAAAGTGCAGTCCCAGGGAGAGAGCACCGCCTGGAGGTTGAGGGCGATTTAGAGCCAAACCACCAGTTGGGAGCCTTGGGTCAGGCAGCCTCTCTGCACCACCTTTGCACCTGTGAAATGGAGCAGCGGTCGGTGCCTGCCTCCTGGTGTGGTCCTGAGGTTTTAATGAGCCGATGCTTCTGAGTCACCATGCATGTGCCGGCACCTGAAGGACACTCAGTACGTGGTAGCTGCTGCAGTTCCCAGTAGTGGGAAGAGCTGTAGGAGTCAGATCTACAGATTCCACACACCCGGTTTGGAATCTCCATCCTGCTGCTGCTAGCTGGTCACTACCACATTGGACCAGAATTTCCTCACCTATAAATCTAGGCTGATTCTGACTCCCAGGACTGGCTGTGAGAATTAAACATGCGAACACCGTAGGACTTCTTCAGTGGAGAAGCAACGAGCAGATGCTGGTGGTAATATAGGAGCCTTGTTAGTTGTTTCCAGAAGCTGGGCACTGGATGGGGTCAGTGGGCTGGTTGGCACTGACAAGTGTGGCCCCTGCCCTCAGAGCTTGGGTTCCAGGGAGTGACGGAGGTGAGGATTCTCCACCCTTACTGGTCACTACGCTAGCCTATGTAAGAATGAGCGCCATCCGATCCAATTAAAAAATGGGCAATGGATCTAAATAAAATATTTTTAAAAGAAGACAGAAGGAAGGCCAAGAGGTACATGAAAACATGCTCAAAGTCACTAAATATCCGAGAGATGCAAATCAAAACAACAATGCGGTGCCATCTTACACCTGTCAGGATGGCTAACATCAACAAACGACAAGTGTTGGCAAGGTTGAGGAGAAAAAGGAACCCTCGTGCACTGCTGGTGGGAATGCAGATTGGTGCAACCACTGTGGAGAATAGTATGGAGTTTCCTCAAAAAACTGAAAATGGAACTCCCATTTGACCCAGTAATCCCACTCCTAGGAATATATCCCAAGAACCTAGAAACACCAATCAGAAAGGATATATGCATCCCTATGTTCCTAGCAGCACAATCAACAATAGCTAGGATTTGGAAATAGCCTAGATGCCCATTAGCAGATGATTGGATCCAAAAACTATGGTATATCTACACACTGGAATACTATGCTGCCATAAAAAAGAAGGAATTCTCATCATTTGTATCAACCTGGATGGAATTGGAGAGCATTATGCTGAGTGAAATAAGCCAGTCAATGAAAGAAAAACACCACATGATCTCACTCATTTATGGATAATAAGGAACATTATAAACTGAAGAACAAAAAGATAGATACAGAGATAGTAAAGAAACAAACAGACTGTCAAATTACAGCAGGGAGAGGAAGGAGATATGAGGAGATAAGAGATCAACCGAAGGACATGTATGCATGCATATAAGCATAACCAATGGATGCAAAACTTTGGGGAGGGAGGGCATGTATGGCAGTGGGGGGGGGGCAATGGTAAGATATGTACACATGTAATACCTGAATTAAAAAAATGGAAAGAAAAAAAAAAAAAGAACGAGCGCCATCCCCACCACCTTGCCATTGTGCAGATGAGAAAACGGAGACTCAGGAAGGTGAAGCAAGGCCACAAAGGCAGTAAGTGGCCTAACCAGGTTTTGAACCTGGATCTGTCTGACTCTAAGCCTCTGCTTTCTCCACTTGTACCTCGGTGCTTGGTGAGGAATTACAAATGTTAACTGTGTTTCTGACCCCATCAGTGGTTGGGAGTTTTAAATTAAGACACATATGCCCCTCAGACCCACAGGCCCTGAAACTGCTTCTTTGGGGTTACAGAAGTGGGTGTTTTGAGGAGAACCGTGCTGATCACCATTGAAATGTCAGTTATTTTTCTTTTCATCACAGGCAGTGGTGAGTGAGGAGTGTATCCCTGTGGACCAGTTTGTTGAACACTTACTCCCCAGCCTTCTAAGCCTTGCCTCAGACCCTGTGCCCAATGTCAGGGTGTTGCTCGCCAAAGCGCTGAGGCAGACACTCTTGGACAAGGGTATGTGCACCAGCTTTCTGAGCTTACACATCTTAAACTTTATCAGTTAGCAATGAGGCTTCCTCTCTAGGAAATCGTGGCAAGTCATGTGATAGCACACTTCCAGTTTATTATATAATAACTTCACTTTCATGTACATTTTATGTTACTCATAAAAGGACTGAGGAAATCAACATATACATTTAATCAACATGCTAAAATGCAAAATATTACGTATCTTCCAGAAAGGAAGGAAACTACAAATTTTTTATGATATAAATATTATGAAAGTTAGCAAATTTAAACCTGAACTACAAGTAGGTTTTAATGGTCTGGTTTTGTAATCAGTAAGAAAAAATGTATTGCTCAACCCAGTCAGTTATTTTCACCTGAACAGGACTTAGTATAAGGTAGGGACCTTGGATAGTTCACTTCTACTGGAGGGAAGAAAAGATAATAGTGAAAGTTTTTTAGTTATAATTTTGTAAATATCATTTTAAAGGATTTATTTATATGGTAATTCTTTGAAAAATAATGTATTGTCTTGAGTTTTGGTTTAAGAACCCCCAAAGTAGAAGATGTTTTAGAACACAATTCATGGCACACGTGATTCGAACTCATGGTTTCCTCTCTCTAGCATACTTTAGAAATGCTGGCCACCCTCATCTTGAAGTCGTTGAAGAGACCATCTTAGTTTTGCAGTCAGATCGGGACCCAGATGTCTCCTTTTTTGCCACTCTGAAGCCAAAGTGGGGGAATCTTGTGGACACTACCATGTTGGGGGAACAGAATTGAGCTCTGGAATGGCTCACAATCGCTCCTTCTGTACTTGGGGCACATCTCTTATGTAATCAGACCTGCTGAAGAAGGGAAGCTTCTGAAAACTCTGACATCACATAGTCAAATGACCCCTTTCCCACATGCAGTCACGGGACTGCACCTGGGACCGCCCTGTGCCATGCTTCTGCGTCCCACCTACCTGATCGGGTTATTTTCACCTTTCAGATCCAGAGTCTGAAAGGTCCTAGAACCAGGTGGTTAAGTGAGTGTGGGGGCCTCCATAGCCTCAGGTTACTCATAAGCAGTTTGTTTTCTCTATTATAGACTATATTATTTAAAGCCTCCCTAAATAAAGTAGTTTATTAGAAGTTTTTCAGTCTTTAAAGACTTGCACATTTGGCTGCCTTATGCTTTCCTATAAAATGTAGTTTATGGTATTTTATTTTTATCTGTACATATGTAAATAACGCTTGACAGGAAGAAAAGATATTAATGTAATATTAGCCTCCTATCAGTGAACAAAACAAATACATCATTTAAATTTATGCTCCACTTTGAGTTGTGGCAAATATAGCCCAATTTGTTTACTTTTGAAAAAATGTGATAGTTAAAGAAGTCTACTGAAGAATGATTTATGGCAATCTTTCTAATGTTGTGTATTTGTTATAAACTCTAGAACTTTTTCTTACCCCCTCCCCTTCTTGCAGGATTGTAGCCTTAAAGTTATGTGTTGGTCATTGGTAGAGGCATGTTGCAGAAAGAATTCATTTTTAGATGGATTTAGTATCATATGCTTAAGAACTCAAGAGGAAAATTGGTCATTGAGATGCATGGACATTGCCTTTATTCTTAATGCTTTAGAATCTTAACAAAACAAACTATATATATATATATATATATATATATATATATATATATATATGAAACCAGTTCTGATAAGTCCATAATGCTTGCCCACAAATGCCAGTGATTTGGGGTATTAAATTATGATACTCTGGTACTTTCAATAATAAAGATAAATTAAAAAAATAAATTATGAACTCTTCAAATTGATCTAAGTATACAGAACTTAGATTTCATGCTTTTACAATTTGAGCCAAGAAAGATGCTCTAGAATTTAAATAGTTTTATCAGTAATTCAAAGTTCTATAAACATTAAATTCTGTATGCTCATGTTACTTGTGTTTCCGTGTGTATCTTCTCAAAGGTGAGCTTAAGGGAGGGAAGGGGCAGCTGCCAAGGGCACGTTCGCTGTGTCACGCTTCCCTTGGAGCTTTTGTTGTCTGTCTTTTCTTGTTTTAAATAAAATATCTGGAGTCACATATTGAATTCCCAGGTGTTCAGGATCCTCTCCCCTCCCTCCAATTCTATGGAGCTGCTGCTTTGAACAGAAAGGAGAACATTTCTGGCACATCATGATTCACTCGTGGGAATCTCAAAGTGTGACCAGGGTTTCGCTTTGGCAACTTCAGCAAAAAGTGGATTAATAATATAAGCCTAACCAACGAACACAGACAACACGGGGGGTGAGGGCATGAGTGGAGGGATGGGGGGTAATGGAGGGATAAGGACACATGTAATACCTTAATCAGTAAAGGAATTTAAAAAGTGGATTAATAAATCGGAGACTACATATTAAAAAAAAAACACACCAAGAAACCTTCGATTCATTTTGTGTTCAATTTTGCTTACAGTAAGTAGATGGAGGTAATGTTTTGCTTCAATAACAAGCGATTTTTTTTTATTGCCTAGAAATTGAGATTGCCATGTTGTTCCAATCTGTTGATATAGAAACCAGTATAGAATTATTCAAGTGGAATCTTGTATTCTGAGCAGAGCTTAATTTTCTATTAGGAAAAAAGATTAGCTTCTGTTTGTGTTGTGATGTGTGGAATTCCCATGCTGAATCAAACATGCTGGTAGACATTCTAGAGACTCTGTAAATAATTCAGCCTTTAATGTGTCAATTTATATGTTAAAATTTTTCTATTATGTGAGTGTCTTTCCAAGGCAAAGATTTTTTTCTCTGTGTAATTAATTTCTCTGCAAAAAGTATACTTATAGCTTATATTTTATTCTTAATTTTATTTTTATAACCACTGAGCTTTCACTATGATCTGGTTCCTGTGCATTCTGTTTTTCCCCCCATCACTCTAGCTTTGTTGTTGTTAATCCTCACCTGAGGATATTTCTCCATTGATTTTTAGGGAGAGTGGAAGAGAGAGGGAAAGACAGAGAGAAACATCAATGTGAGAGAAACAGATAGATTGGTTGCCTCCTGCATGAACCCAGACCATGGCCTGGGCCAGGGAGGCACCTGCAACTAGGTATGTCTCCTTGATAGGAATCAAACCTGGGACCAGGCTGACACTCTATCCACTGAGCAAACTGGCTAAGGCACCCATCACTCTAGCACTTTGTGTATTAACTGTTCATGGGCCCAGGGGCTGAGTGCTTGGGATTTGACCATCACAAGTGAGCTTCCTATTTACTTGAATGTTGGGCCGCCTCTGGTGAATTAATGGAAAAGCACAAGATGGTTTCACAAGATGGAGCCCCCTTGAAAGCTATTCTGACAATAGAGCCTTTGCCATGGGACCTTGCCCCTTGTTTTTATCAGCCCCTTTCTCACTAATAATTCCAGAGCATCTTCAGAATTGATGGGTTTGATGCAGCTTTGAGAACTCATGAAGGTCTGTCTGTCTCCCACTCAGGAGTGGCCAACTACTCCCCTACTCGCGCTCCCCCAAATCTGCTGAAATGAGGCATATTTCTGCAATGTTTTTAAAAATCATTATTTATGCTAGAAATACGGTTTTTAAGCAGGAGTAAAGACCGCCTGAAGCTTGATTTAGGGCCTTGTTCAGCATAATTCCTCCAGATAGTTGATCCCCAATTAGCAAAGATTGTATTTTACTGGGAGATGAGAAGAGGTCACGGCTCCCAGCAGCGGTGGGAAGCTGCCTGGCTTTCCAGGTTAAAGGAGTGACATCCAGAGCAGCCTGGCAGCTTGGCGGTGGAGTTGGGGACCTAGTGGGAGCTGGGGGCGGGGGCGGGGCGATGTCTATTGATGTCAGTGAAGCCCCCCTCCCCCCCATTGTCGTAGGGAAGAGCGTCACGTCCACGTGAGCCGCCTGTGTTTACTGCGGGGCTCGGCCCACGGAGGGCGCGGGAGGGCGCGGGCGGCGATGACGCGCGGCCGCTGAGCTCAGCGGATGACGCACGCGGGGCCGCACTTGGGGACGGGGCGGCGGCGGGCATGCAGCGGGCCACCGAGGGCGCGGGGGGAGCGCGGACGGCGAAGCCGCAGGGGGGCGCCCTTCGCCCTGACCCTGCCCTGGGCCAGCGGGGCGGGCAGAGGCTGGGCTCCGTGGGCCGGGGGCGGCGTCACTCCTCGAAAGCCCGCGTCCGGGGTCGCAGCCACGGCTCGCGGATGGCGAGCATGGCGCTGGACTTGGCCCCATACCGCTTTGTCATACGGGTGCTGCTGGAGGAGACCGGGGAGATGTTCACCGTGACACACTGCCACGGAGACATGACGGTGCAGGAGCTCAAGGAGGAGCTGGATCTGGCAGCCGGCATCCCCTTGAACCTCCAGCTGCTCCAGTACCTGGACCAAGGTGGTGCCTTCTCAACCCCTCCCCTAGCCTTGCTATTCCCTGGACCCGGGTGCCCAATCTCCTCTGAACGTCCTGACGCTAAGGGGAAGCAGCCCGATGAGGACCCCCAGGTGTCATAACACACCCAACCTCCTGGGACCCTCAGATGGAAAAGCAGTCCCTGGCCAACAGGGTTCTCCCGATCCTAGACAGATCCACACTAGACCTCAAATCTCAAGACAAACCTTGTCCGCAGGACGACCCCATGCCATGAACCGCCCTGCCTCTTAGGGTTCCAATCCCAAAGCAAACCCTGCCCATGGCAGGAGCCAATCCCACACCTTCTGCCACAGCAGGGTCCCCAGCAGCTCAGACCCTCACGCTCCCCAAGTCTTCATCAGGGACCCAAGTCCCAAGGCCAAGTGTCCACACAAGACTGAAGCCATAAAAGAGCCTGTCCTCAGTGGAACTCCATAACCAGGGCAGACCTGCTCACAGCGGGACCCCAAACTCAAAGCAAACTCCCAAGTCCTTGTGCTGGGCACATGGACATAAGAATCCCCAGTCCTCCTGCCAGCCATGTCCACACAAGGACACCAAACGCCAAACAAACCTGCCCCCAAACCCAAAACAAACCTGTTCAAGACAGCCCCAACTCTCTAGGCTAAGCCCAAATGCCTCAGAACCCCAAATCCTTAGGAAACTGTTTATGTAAGGACGCTAAGGAGTGAAACAGCCTCTTTTCACCTCTACCCCAAATCCAGAACAGACCTAACCCAAGACTGAACCCCAAATGTTCTTGGTAACCAAGACTGCCTTAGAACCTGGAATCCTTTGGCAGTTGAGTCTACACAAGGACTCTAAAGCTCAGAACAAGCCCCGCCCACATTGGGAACCAAAACCAAGAAACTTGGCCAAGACTGAACCCCAGATTCCAGACTATCCAAGTGACCATCAGAACCACGAATCCTCCACTGACTGTTCACTGATGAGCACTGAAGCCTGAGACAAACTCTACCCCTTGAGAACCCGTATCTGTAGGCAAACCATGCCCACGTTTGAACCTCAAAGTCCCTAAGCTGCCCTCGCCTGCAACAGACTTTACCCAGATCACGACCCTACATCAGAGCAGACATGCCTAATTCTGAGCCCCTGATCTCTAATCAACCATTTGTGCATCTGAACCTCGACCCACCAGCCATTACTGTGTTCGTAAGGATGCTAGACGGCGAAACAAACTTCCCACATCTGGACCCCAAATTCAAAGCCAACTCTGCCCACACCTGAAAGCCAAATCCCAAGTTCACCATAACCGAATACACCAGAACTCCAACCTCAAGCAAAGTGTCCTCATAAGTGCTCTAAAGCATGAGACAAACTCTGCCCACAATAGCACCCCAAAAATAAAGTCAAACCTACCCACATCTGCACCCCAACTCTCCATGGGGACCATGTCTATATCAGCACTCCAAGATTTAAGCCAACCACATCCATGTAAAAAGGCTGAAGTTCAAAACAAACCTCACATATGAGGACCCCAAATCTTAAAGCCAACTCCGCTGGTACTAGTATTTGAAACTCGAATCCCTTAGCCACCCTAATCTACATCAGAACCCCAAATTCTAGATCAAATCCTGCCTGAGTCAGACACCCAAATTTCAGGGAAGAACCTGTTCAATTCCTCACCCCCAGTTGCCACACTACCCAGGGCTACATCAGAACCCCCAAATCTTAGAACAAGTTTTACAGACATAAGGTCTTCACATCCCAGAACTGATCCTTCCCAAAATAGAAAGTAAACCTTGCCTTTACTTCATCAGAACCCCAGATCTCAAAGCAAACCCTATCCACATTTGAACCCCGAGCACTGGCACTAACTCAGTTCGTATCCGAATCCCGATCTCAAGCTGTGTCCTTGTCCACATTAGGGGCTCAGAGCTAGGTCCACAGGAATCAACCCAGCACCCGAACTCGCTGCGGCTAAACTGGGACCCCCGAGCTTCCTGTCTGGACACATCCACGCGAGAGGCACCGAGTGGAGGGTAAACACCCTCGCCATCAATCTCCTCTCGTCAGCCTGAGGACCTGGCTGGCCTATCCCAATCCCTATGATACTTGGATGAGAGGATCAAAGCCCCAGGCCTCCGTCATCCACCACCCTTGGACATCAACGCAAAAACACTTAAAGGAAGAGATGGAGAGCTCTGGCTGCAGCACAGGGATGTGAGCGGGCTCCTGCAGACACACAGCAGAGATGCCGCAGAGGCCAGGATGGTGCAGACAGGTCCCAAGCAGCTCGGCGCTCCCGCAGCACTCTGGGGCAGCTTCTCATCTGCACGCTGAGTCCTCTCACCCAGAGAAGTCTCGATGCCATGTCCCTTCCTATTAGGTCTAGTAATAATTAATGTCGTTTTCTAATACTTTTTTAAATCGAATTTATTTAAACAATACAACAAAATTTAATCAACAATATAGTTGCCGTTGTTTTCTACTACTTGTGCCCAACGCTCAGGAAACATTTTAATCCCTCTGTTGTAAAATTCTTGTGATTTTGATGCAAAAAATTCGGTCAATGCATTTTTGAGGTATTCTTCATTATTAAATTTTTTTCCAAGAAGAAAGTTTTGCAAAGAACGAAACAAATGGTAATCGGAAGGGGCAATATCAGGAGAATATGCAGGTTGAGGGAGAACTTCCCATTCCAACTGGCGCAGGTTTTCAGCAGTGATTCTTGTAGTATGCTGTCATGCGTTATCGTGGTGAAGAATTACGCCCTTCCGATTAATCAGCGTGGGTTCTTTTTCTCTTAAAGCTTGGGCTAACCTTTCCAATTGGGCACTATACACTGCACTTGTAATGGTTTGGTTAGATGGTAAAAGTTCATAATGAAGAATTCCTTTAAAATTCCACCAAACACACATCACTTTTTTCGCATGCAAGTCAGGTTTTGGCGTGGGCTGCGGAGCCTCATTTTTTGTCCAACCATTGAGGCCCCCTTTTCAAATTAACATACAGCACCCATTTTTCATTTCCGGTAACAATTTGCTCTAAAAACGGCAAACGGTTTTGACGAGAGAGGAGCGAACTGCAAATTGTGAGTCTTTGATTACGGTTGTTGTCGGTCAACTCATGAGGAACCCATTTTCCAAACTTTTGGACTTTGCCAAGTGCACGCAATTGATTGGAAATTGTTTTTTGTGAACAATTTAAAGTTGTTGCAAGCTCTTGTTGGGTAATTTGAGGATTTTGCACCAAAAGAGCTTGAAGAGCTTCTTGATCAAAATTGGACACACGGCCTCGACCACTCTTGTCATCTAACAAAAAATTTCCCTCGCGAAATTTCTCAAACCAATGCTGGCATTTTCTGGCGCTAACTGCATCTTGACCAAGAGCACTACAGATGTTTTTTGCATCCTCACTTGCTTTTCTTCCTAACTGGAACTCGTAAAGCATGCAGTGCCGAATATGCTCTTCATCTGCCATCTTCTTAGCCCTAGTTTTGCAACAAAAACCAAACCAAACACAAACTTTTTCAAGCAAAACTTGTTAATTGCACTTCACACGTTCTGTAGATACCACGTGTTTGAAGGTTATGTCAATACAAGTCAATGCCAAGCAAGATTTTAAACGAATGTTTAAAAACGACATTAAATATTACTAGACCCGATAGACAGAGTGACTCGGAGAAGCATCTGTGGGAGCCGAGGCCCCTTCCTGTGTATCGGGTGTCTGAGGACAGTACTGGGCAGAAACTTTGGGGCATTTCTGAGGCTTTATTCCAAGGGAAATAGATCTCAGACCCCATCTGCATTTAACATGTTAAAAACGAGGTGAACTCCTGAAGGACTGAGTTCCAAAACAAGTAATTCGAAAATTACTTCTCCTGAATTACGAATGTCTGGCCCCCTCCAGTGAATTTATTTCTGCTGATGAGCTATGCTGAGCAGTAAATTCAAGAAAGCGAAGTCACAGGATTGTGACTTAGCGCTGATGTCACAATCCTGTCCCTCAACCAGCACTTAGTGAGTGTTAGAAGCTTGACCTCTCTCCGGGCTGTGGTCCTTACTGCGGACGGCCCACAGGAGAGAGAGAAGGTGGGACCACGCTGGCAGATGACTCGAGGGCTCCTGCCTATATGTAATGAGCCGAAGCCTCTGTGCCCACCTCAGAGGTCACAAGGGGGAGTCAAATGAGCTAATGGGTGTGAAAACCTTGCGAGACACAAATCTGAAAGGGGTGAGCAAATCCGCAGACTAGGGTCGCCCTGACAGGTCTGTCGTCAGCTCTAATAATTTATTTAAGCGGGTGATAATTAGTGTTTGTGTAAGCTGGAGTCGCTGCCTGCCGCAAGGAAGAATGTGCTCCGATTTCTTCCCGAGGAGCTGCTCAGCATGTGTGACTCGCACTCTTGTCGTTCGCAGGGAAATACAGCTTTACTTAATTTCTTCAAGGTTGATGGGAAGACAGGTTGTCTTGCTTAGTCTAATTACTGATTATCCTTTGTGCTGGAACCACAAACTAGACCCTAATTAGCAGATTTGCCAGCCACCACTTCCTGTTTACATCCACCATCCAAAGTGGCTGGGAACCAGAGATGCCAGCGGAGCCCAGAGCTACGGCAGGGAGGGCAGGTCTGGTTGGAGTCCCGGCTTTGCCATGCCCTGGGGGCCTGAGTTTGCTTATGGGAGGTGACAGGCCTCGCTTGCCATGAAGATTACTTAATGTGGACACGTCTGCCCTGGCTGGGCGGCACAATTGGTTGCAGAGTTGTCCCATACACCAAAAGGTTTCAGGTTCAATTCCTGGTCTAGGCACATACCTAGGGTGGGGGTTTGACACCCAGGCAATGGACACGAAAGACAATCGATTGATGTTTCTCTCTCCTATCAATTCCTCCCCCCCTTCTCTCTCCCTTTCTCTCTCAAATCAATAAAAGCATATCCCTGGGTGATAACTAAAAAAAAACAAAACAAAAAAGAATGTAGGTACTTCTTTCAGGTATGTAGCAATCAACCATGAAACCCAAAAAACACTGGTGAATTCCACTTGGAATAAGTGACAATCCAGCCCAAGCAGAGAGGAGACTAACCTGTGGCATTGCTTATGGGGAAAGCACAGATCCAACAGACGTGTGCCATTGCTACCTCTTACCCAACGAAGACAACGCTCGCCAGAGGGTTTTAGCTTGACTTGTATGACCACGCTGTGCTGTGCTACACATAGAGGACAACCTCGGTACTTCAAGTTTTCACTCTGTAGAGTTTGCCTCATGAAAAGACTCTAGCGACTCATGTTCTTCGCAACATGATGAGTTATAATGGCAGAATTTGGTAAACAGTTGCCTTGGTTTTTGGGTTTGGAGGTGGCTAGTTGGCCTCTCTCTGAGCGGAGCCACATTAGTGTTCTGAGAGCAGGAACGACCACAGGCCGCTTGTGTGGCGCCATCACGGGAGATGCATGCTCACGGCTCTGAAGGTACCTGTGATAGCCAAGGTCAGATCACCTCTTAGCTAAACTAACGTAGTAGTTTATCTGGAATACCCATTTTTTTTTTTTTAAAGAAAAACTGATTCTCCACAGGAATTTTGATGGATGACGCTACCCTGAGGTTTCATGATGTCGTTCCCGGTGGAATTATTTCATTACATGTCTGGCGTTATGATGGATGGGCGGACCTGGTTCAGGCAGCGGTGGAAGGGGATAGCAGTAAGGTGTTTTCATGATTCTTTACATGGGTATTACACCTCAGGAAGCAGGTGTGTGTGTGTGTGTGTGTGTGTGTGTGTGTGTGTGGCAGGTGGGGATTCCCAGACTTTAATGTAAATATTTGAGGAGAAATTTCAGAGCAGGGAGAAAAGATAACAAGGACTTATGTCCTAATGTTCAAATCCAGGTTCCAGTGTTTCCCTCCCTCATTGGGTTTGCGATTTCACTGTGTTCACTCACTTTTGACTTATAATCCACTCATGCTCCCCCAAAGAATCTGGGCAATGTGCTCTCTGTTCACATGTGTATTTGGTGAAGTCGGAAACCTAATATAACCGCCAGTGCAGCGCCCGGGTGCCCTGGAGATTCTTGGCCTGGAACACGGGCAGGGGCACTGTCCTGGCGGGTTCTGCCTTTCTCCAGTACACAGCAGGCGCCTACTGTTCGCCAAGCCATGTGCTGGGCTCTGGGGTGGGCGGTGGTGGGGAAGGAGATGGAAACCAGCTTGTCCACCCAATTGTGAAGACGAATCACTCAGACCCAGGGGGCAAGTGTGTGTGCTTTCTAGAAAAGCAGCTCAACAAATAGAGCTGAGCTGTGTGCAAGGAGACGGAATTCACTCCGGCTGGGAACGGGCTGGGAGGCTGGGTGCGGAGGGGTGTTGGGATTAGGTCGGGGAAGGGTGAGCGGGTTTGGGGGAGGCAGGGACAGCACTGCAGCACCCCTGGGTGGGTGCACGTTTCAGAGGAGGGTGTAGGGAGGGGCCACAGCAAGGTCCACCCTTGCTCCTCCGTCTCCCAGGCCTCCCCGGTGCCTGGACATTCTGGCTCTGGCTCTGGGCTCGGGTGACTCCCTTTTGTCTGAGCCAGCACCCTCCTCCCCACCACCCCACGCCAGACACCGCAGTCAGGGAGAGCCCCCTTGGTGCACCCCGAGGTGATAGTGTTCCTGTTCTTCCTCCCCGAGAGAGAGCCGAGTTCAGAGCGCTCCCAAGCTAGCGGACCCAATGGGCCCGGAATAGATCGCAAGGTCGAAATGAGGACGTCTTGGGGGAAGCTTGTTCACCGAGGGGAGCCCCTCCGTGCTGGCTGGGGTCTTCCTCACCGGCCACGACCACCTTCCTCTGAACACCCGGAAAAACCTGACTTTGTCTCTTCATACATTGACAGGAAGCATTTCAGCTTCCAAGCCTGCCTGATGGCACGTTCCTATTTCCTGGGCATGTGTAGACCCCCATCTCCGGCTGTTTTCCAGCTTCCCCGATAGGGTTCGCCCCTCTGGCCCCATGGTGGCCTTCACTGGGCTTTTGAGCAGACCTCCCCGGGGGAGGGCCCTGCCCCCGCCGGCCCCACGCTCACGCCCCTCCGTCCTTGCCAGCTCTCCTGCCTGGGAGTGAGCGAGGACTCTCCGTACCGAACAGCCACTCTGCTCTACCTGGGAGAGAAGCAGCGGAAGAAGTGGGTGGCTCAGAGGGCCTTCGTGGCCTTGTACGTCGCCTCGCACAGAGGCCACGTGGAGGCGGTGCAGTATCTTCTGGAACAAGGTAATTGTGAGGCGAGGATGTTCAAGAGCTAGTCCTTGGTGAGGAGGGAGGACAGAATGGTTTTTCCTCGGTCCCTTCAGCAGCGGCTTCCTTTGCGCAGGTCTTGTCAACCAGCCATCAAGGTCCCTGTCTGAGGCACTTCAGGACACGGTAGCCAGGGGCCGGTCCCCTCCCTGGCCAGGTCTCCAGGGAATTCTTTCTGCTGCAGGAGAGCAGCCGAAGGGGCGTCCTGGCTCCGTGTCCAACCGGACACCCCGGGGCACCCCCCAATGCCTGTGTGGTTTGCACCCCAGCTGAGTGGGTTTTCTGACATGGCCTGGGGGCCCCACGCTGGCACCCTTCTCCTGCTGGTTGGCAGCCCTTCCCTCAGAACCTTGAGATAATCACCCCAAACACTCTTTCCTCCTCTACCCTCCCCATCTCCAGCCTTAGCCTGCATTGTCCCTGAATTAAGGGCCTCCCATGGGATTCTGTAAGAGTGGGCGCCATCTTCCTGGATGTGGGATGTGTCTGAGGAAAGAGGCCCACAGACTGAGGTGTCGCCCATCAAAGAACAACGTACAGTGGTTGTGGCCAGGCCAGGCCCGGCCACGCTTCCTGGGAAAAGGAAGCGCGTGGCAGGCAGCGTCCTTGGCCAATGGTTGGGAGCTCAGAAGAGAGCCTCGTCCAAGGGTCTCCGCTGTCAACACCCCCAAATCAGGCCCTTTCTTTCCCGCCTGCAGCCTCAGCCCCACCTCTCCCCACTCAGCCTGCTCTCTCCCGCCTCCGGCAGGCAGGGCGGGCACAGCTCGGACGTGCGGGTAGAATGACCATTGGTGTCCTGATGGAGGGAGCTTCCGAACTGTACCCGCCCCCCCCCCCACCCCTGCCTCCTGCACTCCGCCTGTTGTGAGATGAAATATGGGCTTTTCACAGCCCAGCATCCTTTAAGCTCATAAAATGTCATTTTCCCTCTGATGGAACTGTGATGTATTTGAAAGCACCAGTTAAAAAATTACAGCCGGCCTGGCGACGTCTTCTGTCCTTTGCAGACAGCCGTTGGCCCGGGCCGGGCGCTAGGAGGACCTGTTTAATGGACCCTGTGCCTCACCGGCCAGCCATCGCTCACAGAAACGGGCTCCCCAAGTGTCAGTCCCATGGAATTGAAGTGCCTGGTTTTCTGTGCCATGACATCTGTTACCCAGAATTTGGTTCCACTCAACAAGTGCACCTTGGACACCTGTCATTAGCCCATCCACCTGCAGGAGGCAGTGAGGGATGCGACCAGAGCCGGGTGTGCCTACGAGTCAGGCCGCCTGTCGTCCATCACGGCCTGGGTGCCTGTCTTCCACAGGCGTCACGCTACGGGCTGGGGAGGAAAACATAACCACTGTGCTTTCTGCCCTCATGGAGTTTATGAAGGGACATGATTACAAGCAGTTAATTCCATGATCGGTGTGCGCAGTGTATCCACCGAGCTCACACAGAGGCGCCGGTGAAGGAGGGGCTCCTGAGGGAGGGAATGAGACCTAAGAAAGGATACAGTGAGCCCAGGGGCGAGGAGAAAGGACGCGAGTGTGGTTGGCAAAGGTCACAGCACATGCAAAGGGCCTGGGGCAGGATGGGGGAGCAGGGTATATTTAAGGGATGAAGCTGGGAGGCTGGTTTGATCGGGGCATTCAGGGTGGGGAGGAAGAACATTGTGGGGGTGTTGCTTGAGTGAGAAGGGGTAGGGGAGGGGAAATGGAGCAGTAAAGACCGAGAACATTATTACCCCAAGGGCAGTGGATGCCAGTGTGGGATGGGAGGAGGGTGACTGGCTTTTTGAAAGACCATTGGCTGAGAGTCTGGGGGTGAGGTGGTGCCGGGTGCTAGGGGAGGCATTGTCCCCTCGCGTAGACCTGGTACTGAGCGTGGGAGCAGCTGTTAATTTTCCTAACATTCCTTTCCCAGCCTCAGCCCCTCCATGCTTCTCTTCCTGAACACACCTCCCTCAGCCAGCTTCCTTATTTTACAGGAGCCAACTGTCTCGGCCGGTCCCCCATGGGCAGGACGCCTCTGCACGTGGCTGCATTCACGGGCCAGTCGGACTGTATCGGCCTCCTGCTCCAGCACGGGGCCTCCGCCTATGCCAAGGACGCCAAGGGCGTGACCCCCAAGGACATCACCCACCAGCTGAACCGCAGACAGGATGAGCAGCAGATGCTCCTGTCCCAGCAGCCAAAGGCGGGGGCAAAGGGCCTCAAGACCTGAGCGAGGCCTCGCAGGGAGGAAAGTCTCCCCGGAGAGGAACACTGAGCTCCCGCTGAGATGTTTGCTGGTTAAAGCCGAGCTGGGCGACTTCCGAAGTGCTCGCATCCACGGTGACCCTTGGTGAGCAGGAAGGCAGGAAAACATGGCAATTAATCTGAATCAGATAGTGAATTATCTGTCTTGGTTGCAGATGACCCACGGAGGGAGCTGATAGAAATAGGTGAGCTGCGTTCATTTTGTAACCCATTATGGCCCTAATAGGCTCCATGCCAGCCTTTAATTTTAAGCTGTTTGCGCGTGGCGCCTGATAACGCCACTCAGGGTGATGAGAGCCAATTACCTCGTCCCGCGCCCGGAGGTCGCTTAATGCACCAGCGCCGGCGTCCCCGCCATCAGGAGAGCGGCCCTGCGGGTACCGCGCGGCGCGTGTTGGCAGATTTCGGGAGGCCGCGTGCAGTGAGCTTCCATTTGCAAAGCTCACAGCTCCAAAGGCTCCCACAACTAGTAATGTTCCAGAAGTTTCCCTGAGCCATCCCTGAGGGGTCTGAGGCTTGATCCGGGTGGGGTGGGGTCTGGGGAGAGCTTGGTTCTCCAGACGTGTTCTCCAAGGGTGCCTGATGTGTTGAAAGGCAACGCGTTGGCGGTGAGTGTGGAGGTGGTGGTGTGGAGGACGATGATGAGCTTGTGTCCCATCGCCAGTGGCCCAAGCACCACCTCCCTCCAGCTTTCTCCCTTCTTGCTGGAACCCAACTCGCTGCAGGACCTTATGGGGCAGCATCTGTGCTTAATGCTAGGTTCTGTACCTCACCACAGACACAGACCTGTGGGCCCGGCCTGCTGTGTGGGTGAGGGAGCTGCGTGTGTCGGGGAGGCTATGAGGAAAGATGAGGTCTGAGGCAAACTGACACACACGCCCCTGTCTGAAGGCGCCATGGCTCAGCTCCAACGGAAACGGGGGTCAGAGGCAGCTAACTCTTTCCAAGCTGTCTAGAGCTGGAAATCTGAGTTTTTGATATAAGTTTTGGTTTTGAGTGTTGGCTTGAACTTTTTAAGGATCGTGATATGGTACAAAAGAAGATTTGAGGCACGCCCATAAGACTGCCCTCCATTGTGAAACTAACTCGTTTCACAGAGGAACATGGGTCCAATCTACTTGACTCTCATTGGGACAATCGCTGGCTCTGAAGTCACAGGGCGGGTGGCCCAGGGTCCCGTCTTGGATGTCTCCCTAACGCTCTAGATTCTGCTGCAGCTTCCGGAACCCCTCTCTGGCGCCTAAGTTGTGTTTTTAAAGGGATGGAGATGGCATGGAATGCTGGCGCCCTTCCTTCTGACATAGGTCCCAATACCTGGGTTCAGCTTTTGAATTAACTGGCCATGTTTCCTGCTGTCAGAGCAAGGAAGAGCTGTGTTGATGGGGCCCTACCCTCCGCAGTCGGGGCTGTGCCCAGCTCAGCGATCTGTTTGACAAATAATAGCCAGGAAAAAAATAGAATTTAGCGTCAACTATGTCAAAACCAAGATCTTGTTTTTGGCAGGCTTTCTCCAAAGTCATAGGCAGATATTAAATAACCTCACTGAGCGGGTCAATTCATTTAGCTAATGAGGTGTGTTGGGGGTAGGGTGGGGGTGGGACTTGAGCACCCTTTTAACTTAAAAAGTGGCATTACTCAAAGTCATGTTTGCCTGGAGCTTTGCTCTATTGTCTTTGTTTTAGGAGAGCCAAGTGCCTGACACTTGTCCTCAGAACTTTGGAGGTAAGCACTCTGTCTTCCTGCGGCCCCAATTCAATTAAACTCTTGGCCAGAAATTGGGCAGATTCCAAGGTCTCTGTGGTGACATTTCGCGCAGTCTGTGGCAGGGTCATTTGAGCATGCCCGAAGATCCCGGGGACTTTTTATTTGAGGAAATCTCAACATCCTCTCTCATATTCAAACAAGCCTCATCACAGATACAATAAAAGATGTCCATCCCATAGAAGAGTTGATTTGCAATTGATCACAGTCATGTTTCATTGGTAGATATTTCATTAAACATTTTTTAAAGGTGTTTTTTTGGGTCATTCTTTGATGCCAGCAACAACAGAAAAAACACATTTGGGGTTTGGGCTTCTCATGTTTTTTTAGAATCTGGTTAAGGCGTTGGGGATGGCGTGTGGCAGTGAAACAGCGGTGGTTTGCAGGGGCCAGGTGAGTAGAAACAGAGCTGTTTCTGTGGGCCTCACTCTCCGAGGAGAGAGTGGGCTTCCTCTGGGAAAGGAGTGGGGCCAGTCTTCTGGGTATAAAATCCAGCCCCCTCTCTCTGTCTTGTACTTCCTGTGAGCCTGGGCTCTCAGTCACTAGAGCAAGAAACTGGTGGACTAGTATGGGGATGCAGTGTTTGGGGTCAGTGTGGACCCCAGATCACATCTTTTATTTTAAAAAATATATTTTATTGACTTTCTACAGAGAGGAAGAGAGAGGGATAGAGATTTAGAAACATCAATGAGAGAGAAACATTGATCAGCTTCCTCCTGCACACCTCCCACTGGGGATGTGCTCACAACCCAGGTACATGGTCTTGATTGGAATCAAACCTGGGAACTTTCAGTCCACAGGCTGATGTTGTATCCACTGAGCCACACCGGCTAGGGCCCAGATCACATCTTGCAGGCTTTGCCCTGTGGTTAGAGGATGGAGGGCGGTCATGGTGCCTGGTCCCTAAGGGTATTGGGAGGGCCGAGGGAGTAGAACATGCTCAACAGGTGCTAGTTGTTATCATCTGAGAGCTTGGTGGGGTGACCTTGCTGAAGTCAAAGGCTAAATTATTGGTGTTTGAGAGAGAGGGAAGATAGGAGAACCATTTGGTGCTTTTCTTGGACTCTCTGAAGTTCCGATCACCACAAAACTGATGACCTGACACTTTGAGGTCAGCACCCCCAGGAAAATGCCATGGAGTGTCCTTGGAGCTCTTGGTGGCCCATGAATGAGGCTTCCTCGGGGACATTGCTCACCAGTGTGCCTATGTCAGCCTGGAAAACAGTCACTGGAACTAGGGAGCCCTTCTGGAGAGGTGAACCACTCACTAGAAGCAGAGAACAGCTCTGTTTCTACTCGTCTTGGCTGCAGGATGCTCAGAGCCAAGATTAGGCGCCTCCTGGAGCAAATGCCCACTCTCCCCCCGAGTGCATTGTAACCAGTCCCTCTTCTTGAACATGTTCAGTTATAAGTCACCTCCAATCCTCCCGAGGTCAGTGTAAATGAGAAAGAGGTGACACCAGCTATGGTTCAGAGAGAGCTTGGAACATCTTTCCCAGATCCGGTTTGGCTGACCCAGCCTCCAGGCCATCAAGCATCTGGTTCGTGTTCTCTCTCTCTCTCTCTCTCTCTCTCTCACACACACACACACACACACACACACACACACACACACACACACAGTCTCAGGGGCAGCTAAACAAAGACCCTGAGCCTTATTCTGCATCCTGTCTATTGGCCTGATCTCCAGCATCCTTCAGGCCCCAGATGCGGATGCCTTGGCTGCCCCTCTGGGCCTTGGGCCAGCCCAGTTCTACAGGTCTTCAGCATGGTGCCATCTCTCTCCAAAGACTCCTCCCGAGGTGTCAGCTGAGCGTGGGCTCTGCCCTCTGCCCCAGACCTGGGCCCTCCATGAAGCATGGTCTCCAGGGCTTCCTATGGCATCTCAGCGGACTTCGGTGGCTCCTGACACTCCTAAGTGACACTGAAACCTCGGGTGAGAAAGTCCTCGCCTTTTCAAACTGCCCCCAATCCCTTTGCTTCCACCAGAAGACAGTCTCCATGTGGAACTGCTATCCTAGGCCCTCGCCAGCCTCCCTTTTAAAAACACACAAATGGAGCCAACCGCAGGCAGCTGTGTTTTGCTGCGAGTTAGCACCATTGCCTTGTGTTCAGTATATTTGTGAGCAAAAGCTATTCCTTTCATCACTCCTCACCAGTGTGTGACTTTGGGCAAATGGCCTCCTACAAGGACCTCAGCTTCTTTGTCTGTCACGGGACCGTCATCTCCATGCCAACCTGGTTGTGCTGGTGAAATAAGACAACCAAGGTGAACGGTGCCCTCTGGACCTGAAGCCCGGATGGTGTGGTTCCCCCCACCCTCTCCACCTCCCAACGTCCTGGGAGGGCCGGGCCTTGTGAGCTGCTATATCCACTTATAATCTTCCTTTGCCAGCAGCTGTGTGGCTCTGGGCCTCAGTTTCCTCGGTGGTGACAGTAGGCCCTAAACCCTGCCCCTGTCACTGCTGGAGGGATCCAACGCCTGGCACAGAGCAGGCGCCTGACGCGCAGCAGGCATTGATTGCTCTTATTATTATTATCACTCCCGCCACCTAATTTGCTTACAGTGTTTACTCGCTGGGAATCGATAGTCTCCCGGTTCCCAGCGTGCCTCATCCATCCTCAGCAAACATGATACAATAAGCGCCGCCATCCAGAACGGATAATTCCCAACGTGGGGGATAAATAATGTCCCTGAAACTTGCTGATTTAAAAAAAAAATTTTTTTTTTTTTTTCTATTAAGTACAGACCTTCCTCGGCAACGTCTAGAAAGCCCATTTGAACCTCAAACGCCAGGGTCAGTTCTGCAGGAGAGGGGACAAAAAGATCTCAGGCCAGAGGAACATTCCAGGCCCTGGGCTCTGCCTCTGCAGAGAAACCTGTTAACATTTAGAAAACACGGTGTCTGTGTTCATGGAAAATCACCGATGCCGCAGTCTGCGTCAGAGCCAGAGCTGGGAGCAGGGCTGGGCGGCGGGGGCTCTCAGACAGGCGCCCCCGCCCGGGCCCCTGAAACGGTCTGCAAAACAGGCCTGTGGCTGTGGCGCAGTTCTTTTTGTTCTCAGCTCTCATCGCATCCTGGAAAGGTCTGTAGCTCCCCCTGCCTGACGCTGGCGAACCTGGACACAGCACCGGGAGACAAAGCTCGCCGGTTGTCAGACCAAAAAAATAAACCCTTGCAATGTCACCTACGTACGGGGTCC